AGAGCATCCTGTTCCTCAGCCTCTCTCCTGTTCCCAGGTGGCACGTGCTGTCTCTGCCAAGGGGAGGTACAAGCAGATCCCAGGATGTTTCAATTTCCTCCGTAAAAAATTCTTCTTTGTGTGTGACTGACACCTGGGCTTTGAGCCCCCTGCCAAACGCTGGAGGTTCTTCCCGTGGCTGAATGAAATCCGTGCCCACCATGACGTGGTGTCAGTGCTCCCCGTGGGTTTTGTCTGTGTGTCCAGATGTTTGTCTGGAGAAATGTGACCTGCCAGCGCTGGCTTTGCCGTGAAGTGGAGATGGAGATTGTGCTGTGCCATTGGGAAATGATGTGGATGGAGCAGGAAATCCCTTTGCTGGAGAGCAGAGCCAAGGAGAGCACTTCTGGCTCGTCCTGACATGGCCACGCTCGGCCTCAGAGTGTTTTCCTTTGCTGATGGTGATATTTGTGTCCTGTGCTGCCTGGGTAACTGATTGAGGGGACCAGGGTCTGATGTTCAAGTAAAACAGGTTGAGTTTTTAAGTCAACATTTCTAATAAATTCAATTAAAGAGCAAATCTTTAGCTGTATTCCCTTGTCTGTTCCATCTCCTCACTGCCATTCCAGCACCTCCTGAAGGCTCCTCTGAAGTGGGGAGAGTAGAAACCTTCACTCAAGTCTGCTGTTACATTTACATTTACATTTGTCATTTACAATGTGGCTGTGCCAGCCTACGGAGAAGGCATCCTGCTCCTTTTGAGGAGTCAGTCAGGAGTTAGAGCAGGAAACTGGTGAGGATTCAATCAAATACCAGTGCTGAGGTAGAGTTCTTAAGGAGCTGCTGTGGTGCTGGCCTTGGCTCAGAAATCCTGCATCTGTGTTGGATTTTGAGGGGGCAAAGCATCCTTGGAGCCACCCTTGGGAGGTGCAGAGGCCTTGGGGTAGGTCTGTGCTGGGGGGTGCTTGGGGATTCCCAGGGAGCCTGGGAATATCCAGTCTGCATTTGCAGCCACTGAGTGTTTCTGTGCTCCTTTGGGAGCATTTCAGGTGCTTTGAAGGTGCTGCAGGAGGGAGTCAGGGCTGTCCTGAGCACCCCAAGGAGGGTGTGGCTGTGATGGCCTTGCCTGTGCTCAGGTGTTTGTGAGAGCTCGTGGTTGTCTCCTTCTCTGTTCCCCTTCTCCATCCCCAAGGGGAGTGGGGCTCTGGGCTGCCCCGTCCTGTTGCTGTCCAGTTTTGTACAGAGCTGGTTGTGATCCCAGGGCTGATCCCACCTCCCCTGGACCCGTTCCCCTTTGGGAAAGGTGACCCTGCACTCTTCCCCTTCTCTCCCTAGGGATGCATTGGGGCTGGGGTGGGGGTGACTGTGGCTGCAGATGGCTCGTGATAGAGTGACACACGTGGATGGAGATGGCTCCTTTCCGTGACACGGACTGCAGTGGCTGCTCCTTCCCCAGGGCATCCAGAGGTGACAACAGACTGGGAGTGCTCTGGCAGCACAGGTGGTGAGGGGAATGTGGTGGGGCTGCAGGATGACCCCCAGGTCCAGCCTATTTACCTCGAGACCCCCATCATAAATCTGCTGCCATCAAGTACCAGCGAGATCCCCTGAGACATCCCAGCACCAGCCAAGACACCCAACACCTCCTTGGGCCAACCAGGGGCCCTACAGCCACCCCCAAGTTCCCTAGAGCCCCCCAGGACCTCCAGGCCAGATTCCAGCCACTTTCCCATCAAACCATCGGTCAAGCCTTGAACCCTTTGACTCGGCAATGGCTCTGCTCCGAGCTGGGAGTACCTTGTGGGAAGTCTGCCCACCTTAGGCTCCCCAGGACCCTGCCCAGCCTCACTGCACGATGTGAGGGCTCTCCCCAGCTCCTGGGCAGAAGCCCAGGACCGCAAGACACAGCCCCCTGGTTCTGCTCCACCGTGTCCCCCCAAAAGAACCACACGAGACCAGCTCAGCACTATTGCCTTTATCACACTCTGTGACTGTCACTACTGCCTTTATCACACCCAGTGACTCACTACTGCCTTTATCACGCTCAGTACTTGTGCTGCAGGCCGTGTCCTCAGTTCTCTGCCATTTTCTGCCAAAGACAAGCCACGGGGAGGCTCAGGGTGAGAGCGCTGCCAGGGCAGGGGCGCTGTGGCCAGCTCCCTGTGCGGGGGCAGAGGAAGGGACACCCACCTCGTTGATCCAGTCGATGTAGGCGGACACCCGGGTGAAGACTGTCGGCTTCTTGGCCACGTTGCAGCCCAGGCCGGAGCCGAAGCTGACGATGCCGTCCACCTCCCAGATGCCATCATCGCGCTGGCAGTTCAGGGGGCCGCCAGAATCGCCCTGTGTGCAGAAACACTCCGGGCCGTGGGTCCTGGGCACCCCAGCAATTCCTCTCATCCCTCCCAGCCATCCATGGCTCCATCCCCTCTCCTCCCAGCAGCACCCACGCTCACGTTGCATCCGGAGACGACGCCGTCGCCGCCGGCGCACACCATGGTCTCGAGCACAAGGCTGCCCCACCAGTCCCACTTGGAGCAGGTCTCATAGTCCACCACGGGCAGCAGAGCCTGCTGCAGGACGTCAGCCAGGGGCCCGTTGGCTGCAAGGACAGTCACATCTCACACCCTGCACACCCCAGGGACTCGCTGGGGACCCTCCTGGGGACACCCCACTTACTCCTGATGCGTCCCCAGCCGGTGACATAGCAGGGGTAGTTGTTGGGCAGGATCTTGCCGGCGTCAGGCAGGCAGGAGGCGCGGATGGTGTCACTCTCCTGCACCTCCTCGGCCAGCTTGACCAGGGCAATGTCGTTGCTGCAAGGAGACACAAACCATGGTCCCTGGCCAGGAGAACAGGGTTCCTGGCCATGGGGACAGGGGTTTGTGGCCACCCTCGACCCACCCCTGATACACCTCATGCCCTACATGATGAGGAAGGAGTTCCATTTCTCATGGACGATTATCTTCTCCACACCCACGGCCACAGAACCGGGCTCATCATCCACTGACAGGTCCTGCTTGCCCAGCACCACACGGTAGGTCATGGAGTTGCTGCCAGAGAGAGAGAGGGGGTGTCAGTCCCCACAGATACCTTACCTCCATGGCACAGGTCCCCCCAGCACCCCAACACCCACCTGATGCAGTGGGCAGCTGTCAGCACCCACTGGGGAGCGATGAGGGTCCCGCCGCAAGTGTGGTGCCAAGATCCATAGCTACTGTACTGCAGTGAGATCTGCAAGGGGCAAAGGGTCACAGCAGGAACGTGCCCATCCCTGTCCCCATCCCTGTCCCCATCCCTGTCCCCATGCCTGTTCCCATGTGCCCCCTTACCTGCCATGGCCAGCTGTGGGCTACGGCATCTTCACCGCCCACCACGCGGGCGCCCAGCTGTGGTGGCACGGCCGGCTGGCCACATCCGTAGGCTGTGTGACAAAGGGACATCAGAGGCTGCCTGTGCCCGTGGCTGGGGCTGTGACAGGCCCCACAGTGCTGTCCCCCCTGCCCCGAGCCTTCCCCAAGCCCTGCACTCACCGTAGCCCAGCAGCAGGACGAGACACACGGCTCCCAGCATGGCTGTGCTGTCCAAAAGTGCCGCAGCAGGGCCGCTCACCCCTCTTATGGTGTCCCCACTGCCGGGGACCTTGGGGTGGCCCCGCCTGCCACTGCCATGTGGGGACTGTCCCATGCTGTGGGGCTCCTCAGCCCCTCTTATCGCACTCCCTGTCCCGCCTGGGAACGGCCACGTGTGCCCGGCCTGTGCTGGCACCGTGCTGGGACATGGCAGGGACACTCGGCCCTGCTCCGGGAATGGGCAGGGTCCCTCGTGGGGCACAGCTGCTGGGCAGCCCCCCAGCCACGGTGCTGCCACTGGGGTGCTGGGCAGCCCTGGTGCCTCCCAGCCCTGAGCACCCATTCCCCCAGGACACTGCCTGCTCACACCCCCACCCCCCCGGGCACACGGTCCCCTTATCTCACTCTTGATGTGGTCAAGACCAGCCAAAACCCCACAGGTGCTAAAGGCTGGGACAGGTGCAGGCATCAGCTGATGGCCTTTGGTAGTGCCAGGTCCCCACACCTGGATCAGGCCCCTGCTGCTTCCCACGCCAACGTGGCTCATTCCTGTTCAGTGGAATTCCCATCTCCGGTGGGAACCGCGTGCCCAGGGTCACACCCCGCTCCCCAAACTCCTTCCCCCCACCCAAGCCCCCGCCACAGACGTGCCCATCCCACAGCTGCACCCCAGCATCCAGCACTTAAGAAATATAATATTTATTTGGGATTAAATTAAAAAAAAACCATAACACACCCCCTATGCCGCCACTCGGGGGACACAGATGTGGGTTTTTACAGCCACCCAAACACGAGAGCCTCAGTGACCAGTGGCAGCCACTTGTGGCCACCACGCTCATCCTGCCAGGCTGAACACAACATGAAAAGAAACATAACACAGCCCCACGAGCCAGCAGCTGCCCTTCTGTACGTCTTTTGACCAAAATAAAGAGAGACACAGCTCCTGGAGGGCTCCAAGTCAGTGGGGTGGGCAGCCACCCACCCCCCAGCACCACACACACACACACACACACACACACACACACACACAGAGCCCCTCTAACAGCACCTGGCCCTTGCCATGGCTTTTGTCACTGGTGTCACACACAGCAACACCAACACCCACCACCTGCACAAACCCCCATCCCGCAAACCTCCCAGTGCACTCACAACACACAACAGGCTGGGCACGGGTGTCCCAGGGAGGGACATTTGGGACACAGCTCCCCTGGGACTCAGGGTGCTGCTCAGGGTGGGGGGCACGCTGGGGAGGTGAGGGGGGCACAAACAACACCTACAGACACCACAGCAAGAGGGGAGGGGGAGCTGGGGCGGGCTGGGCTCTGCCGGAGAGGTGGGCGCTGTGCCGAGCCCGCGCCGGGATGCGGCCGGGCCGCGGCTCCGGCATCGCTCCCGGCACGGCTGGCACGGGCAGCGCTGCCAGTCTGGGCACCGCTGACCAGTCCTGCCCGGCCCTGTCACTGCGTGAAGGTGGACTGCAGCTCCTTGAAGGCTGCCTTCCTCTGCTTCAGCTCCTCTGCCTGCTTCTTCTTCTCCTCCTGCTCTGCCTTGATCTCCTCCTCGAACCTGCTGGCTTCGTTGATGGCTTGTGCCTGCGGATGGAAATGTCCAGCTGTGACCTCTGCCGAGCTCTCCTGCCCACCCCAACATCTCCACCTCCTGCCTACCCGGCACCAAACTGCCCTGGGGCATCGCCATCCTGCAGTGGGACCTCCTGAGCCTCACCTTGGCCTCAAAGAAGTTCTTGGCGCCTTTCACGCCCTCTGTGGAGACATCGATCTCAGAGAGCCGGGCCAGGGCGTGCAGCCCACTGTCCTCTTGCAGCTCACCCGCTGCTGCCTTCCGGAAAATCAGCAGGAACTGTGAGGGGAGATGGTAGCATTGGCTCCCTGAAGACCCCAAAGCCACCACGGCCACTGCCCACCGTCTCACCAGCCCGAAGAGCGGCTGGGGACATCTCCCTGCCAGCGTGGTGCCTCCTATCCCCTCACCTCTCGAAAGCTGAGCTTGCTGTCCAGGTCTTCATCCACCTCCTTGATCATGTTCTTCAGTCCCAGGTGCGTCTGTGGAGCCCCCAGTTTCTCCATCATCAGCTTCAGCTCCATCAGGTCAATGAAGCCGTCTTTCCCTGCGTCGTACCTGCACACAGGATGATCCTGACACATCACCACGGGGTGCAGAGCCCACACAGCCCCCCACAGTGCCCCCCAGCAGCACACCCAGCTCTCTTTTGCCTGGGGAACAAAGAGGGAACAGCAAGGACTTGTGCACTGATGGTCTCCGGCAGCTCTCCAGACCACGGGGAAGCTGTGAACCGCTAACAACCCCCCGGAGCATTATCCAGGATCGCTCCTGTTTCCGTGCTGTGCTTGGCAGGAGAACCTGCCAGGACGCTGCCAAGCCTGCTGCCAGCTCCCCGTGCCAGCAGCCTGAGCATGGGATAACAGGCCATGGGGCTAAGGCCACCGGGCACTCTGTCACCACCTCCTCCTCACTGTGACACCTCCAGGTGCCCCACCCTCACTGCCCAGAGCCTGTGCCATCCATGCTCCACCCCTGGCCAGCTGCCTGGGCTCGGCTGAGAGCTTTGGGCACAGCTCTGCTCCCTGATGCTACCCACAGACCGGTCAGGAACGCCCCTCCTGAGACCTGTGACAGTGCCACAGTCCCCTCCAGCTTCCCCACAGCCACCCCACAGCCACCCCACAGCCACCCCGCTGTCTGCTCCCCTGCGTGGGCTGTGGCACAGCGGGATCTCCACGGGGAGCCAGCACGGAGCCTCGCTTGGTACAGCTGCACACGCTGCATGTGGGCAGCTACACGCTGTACCCGTTGTGACAGGGCTCCTTTTTTTGGGATCTTGTCACTGCAGCAGCCACGCAGAGCCCCGGCTCCCCATGCTGCAGGGCCGTGACTCATCTGTACCTCCCCTGCTGCTGTCTGCTCTGTCTGTGTCTCCAGCAGCACCTTCCTCATCTGCCAGGGACCCCGAGAGGGGCTGCTCCTGCTCACTGCTGCCTACTGAGTGCCAGCACCTTCAGAGTGGGGCTGTGGGCACAGATCCCACATGGTTTTTACCTCCAATACCCGTCCTGGATCATAGAATCATGGAATGGTTTGGAACAGACTGTGAACATCCCCTCATCCCAACCCACGGGCAGGGACACCTTCCACCCTCCCAGGCTGCTCCAAACCCTGTCCAACCTGCCCTTGGACACTTCCAGGGATCCAGGGGCAGCCACAGCTTCTCTGAGCACCCTGTGCCAGGGCCTCACCACCCTCACAGGGATGAACTTTCTCCCAGCACCCAAACTAACCCTGCCCTCTGTCACTTTTGAAGACTTTCCTCCTTGTCCTGTCACTCCATGCCCTTGCCAGAAGTCCTTCTCCATCCTGCATCCCTCAGAGTTTCTCTGCCAAGGGCGAGAGTTGCCTGGCCTGACTTTGCCACCTCATCCCACGCAAGGCACCTCTCCAGGTGCAGGGCACCTCCTTTCTCTCAATTCCCTCTCTGATTTTTTGGGATACCAGTGTTACAAGTGCACATTATATTACTGGCTTTTTGCAAATATTATAATGAATGTTATATGCAAAAGGTTAGAAAACTTTGTTGTACTAATATAGCTTCTTTTATTTCTGTTATTGATGAAATTTAGTGGTATAATACATATATATGTTAAGCTATAACATGATATTAAAGCACAAACTACTTTTTGTTTATATAACCCAGAGACTTGAAAAGATAATCAGAGACACCCCCTGAATTATTAAGATTATCTTGTCCTCCAAGAAAAAAATTTATTACATCTGTTATTGGAGGATATAAAACCCAGTGGCACCAAGAAGATTGATCTATTGGGAAAAGGGGGCAAGGTAAAAACTAAACAAAAGAACATAAAAAAACTCAAGAAGAATGTCTGAATATGTGTGAGAATTTATGGATATCTAGCAGGGTTCTGTTTTTAAGGGACAATCCTTTGTTAGTGAGGGGAATGCAGAGACACCCAGCCGGATCTTTATACTTTATTTTAATCTCCTAATTGTCTATTAAACTTTTAAATTCTATATAAAAATACGTGAACCTCGTTTTTCACACCAGCATCCCGCACCTCCCAAAGGGCCCCATCTCCCCTGTGGCGAGCCAAAACCCTTCCTGGCATCACTTTACCCTCTCCAGCCGCATTTTCACACCCCGAGGCCGGCAGCAGCGAGGGCAGCGTGGCAGAGCATCCTTCCCTCGGGTGCTCCGGTGCTCGCAGCCCGGGCGCTGCTCCTTTTGCTGCAGCGAGACGCCGCAGCTGTCAGGGCAAACACACGGCGCCCACACCCTCCCTGCCATCTGCTCCTGGAGCATCCCCGGCACGGCCACCGCGATCCCCGGCACGGCCACCGCGATCCCCGGCACGGCCACCGCGATCCCCGGCACGGCCACCTCGGTCCCCGGCACGGCCACCGCGGTCCCCGGCACGGCCACCGCTGTCCCCGGCACGGCCACCGCTGTCCCCGGGAGCTGTCCCCGCCGCAGCTCCTGCTGCCCCTGCCCCTCTGCCATGCTCTGCCGGTGGGTGACAGCCCCCAGCAGGACACGGGGACATCCGTGCAGCACCAGGGTGTGCCTGCACCCCAAACCTCGTGTTTCGGCCGTCACCGCGCTCCAGCCCCGAGCGAGACCAGCCAGGAGGGCGATGCGGATCCTCCCCCGGTGCCAGACGGGATGAAGGCATTGGCACATCGCAGCCATGCCTCCGCCTGTTCCCTCTCTCCGCGCTTTCCCGGAGTCTGTCCCCACGCCTCCCGCACAAAGCACCCAGCTCGGGATCCATGGGGATGCTCCGGGCCGTCCCGTTTTGCCCCCGGCTACTCCCGCTTGGAGTCACCCCGATTTCTGGCTCCCCCTGGAAATTTCCAGGGCTGGAGGCTCGCTGCCAGCTCCCCCCCGTTCCCAGGGGCCGGGGGCCGAGCTCGTGCTCCGAGTCACGCGTGGTGGCAGGCAGCGCGGGCAGGGATGCTGAGGATGCGCCAGCCTGGCCTCTGCGGCCCCGGGAGCTGCAGGATGTGGGATCCCTTGGTGATGCGGCAGAGGGAATGTGGGGGTCCCCGGTTCCCCCTTTTCCAGACCCCTTTCTCTGGCCTCAGCACCAGCGTACCCCCCTCATGGGGGACAGGAGGTTCCTTCTGCAAGAATTTAGGGGCGCACCGGAACGCCCCCGGCAAGGAGCTGGGGGAAGGTGTCCCCGGCACCAATCTTGTGAGGGGCTGTGGGAGGAGAGGGGTGTCCCTGGCATCCCTCCTGAGAGAGGCAGGCGGGGGATCCCTCCTGCAAGGAGCTGGAGGTGTCTCGGCATCCCTGCTGCACACAGCTGGGGCGGGGGGAGTCTCCCACGAGGAGCCGAGGATCCCTCCCGCAAGAGGCTGGGGTGCATGGGGGGGTCCCTCTCACAAGGACCAGGGGGTCTCGCCCGCAGGAACGGGGCGGGAGGCGCTGGGGCATCTTCGCTGCCAGAAGCCGGGATAGCGGGGGATGCAGGAACCGCGATCCGCGGATGCCAGGGGCTCTCTGTCCGCCCCGGGGACCCCTTCTCCCCGGGGACCCCCCTCTCCCGGGGACCCCCTCTCCCCGCGCCCCACACTCACTGTCGGAAGAGCCTTTCCATGTCTCGGAGCTGCCTCCGGGAGAACTCGCGGAACTCCCCAGCGGGGCTGAAGACTCGGCGGCCACCGCCCCCGGGCGAGCCCTCGCCCACCGCCCGCCCCGCGGGGCTGCCCGGTGCCGGTCCCGGCCGCGGCCCCCGGCCCCGCCGCCCCTCGGGCTCCTCCGCCGCCGCCGCCATGGTGCGGTGCCCGGATGGCCGCGCCGCTCCGCCCCGCTCCGCCCCGGGGCCGGGCTGCGGCCCCCCGGCTCCCACCGCCCGCCCCGGGGGGCTCCGGCTGCCCGCCCCCGGCAGCGCAGCGCCGTCCCCCCGCACCCTGCATCACTTATCGCCGTCCCTTCAGACCCCCTCCCTTCCATCGCTAGGGCTCGTCCATCCCCCGGCGGGATCCACATGGGATGATGGTCCTTAGGGTCCGGCATCACCTGTGGGTTCCATATCCCGGTGGGATCCCCCCGGACCATCTTTAGGGTCCCTTTCAACCCAAACCGAGCCGTGATTATTCTGTGAATCTGTAGGATCGAAGCGGGAGTCTGGTGCACTCACAGCCACCTCTGCTCTTGCTGTCTCCATCCGTTCCTGACCCAGAGTTAGCCAAGGGTGGTGTGGAAGGACACAGCCATGGAGCACCCCAGCACCTCCAGATACACCTGCAGAGGATGCCCACGGCAGCACCTTCAACCTACACAGGCACACAAGGTCATGCCTTGGCCCAAAGTAAACCCAGGCCGTTCAGACAGGGAAGCATCCAGCTTCTCTCAGCACAGGGAGCAGGAAAACCAGGCCACACCAATTAGCAGAGCCCCACAGCACTGCCACTGCCACTGGGGTTCGGCTGCTGTGCACACGTGGGTGCTTTGCATGCCCAGAGACGATGCAGCCCTGCATCAGCCTGCAGCCTCTGCAGTGCTTCCAGACCTCTTTTTATCCCATTAAAAAATAAAGACCAAACAACCCCAGTGGGGCTTTGCTCACATCCAAATTATCCTCAGTCTGCAGGGGACTCGGCACAGGGACTGCTCCGAGCGGTGCTGAGGTGGAGAGGATGCAGGGATGATGTGCTGGAGCTGCAGGGACCCCCTCCCCACAACACTGCTGCTCCCCAAAATCCAGGGTCTGCTCTCACCCTTGCTAATGACAGGAATCAGTGAGTGAGCCTGTGCCATCACCCCAACCCACCAGCACATCGCTCTCATCGCCCCATTGTCCTCATGCTGCTGTACTGGTGTGGCTGACACAGGTCCCACTCTTCCCTGGGGTGTTCCAGGAATTCCAGAATTCCCTACCACATCGTGCCTGACGTTCCAGTTTCCCCCTGACACGATGGGGACTGGAGGACACAGGAGCTGCGAGGGATATTTCAAGTCATGTTGGCTCTGTGTGCTTGAGGCCACTTCAGCAAGGACAGGACACATCCCCACAAGTGACTTCACACGTCACTGGGCTGTGTTCACACACACAAATATCCACACTGGACAATATCCTCACCACCTTCTCCACTGCCACAAATCCCACCACATTCTGTGGGACGTGGAAAATAAGGTCCAGCATTGTCCACTGGCACCAGTGTGCCCAAGGATACAAACTGGAGCTCCTCCAAATGCACCCAGGCCTCATGCCAGCTCCACCCTCAGAGTCCAGAGTGATGATCTGTTCCTCCTGCAGACCAACACCTAGTGAAGGTCCCCGTGGTGCTGCTCCCGTGAGCTTCCCGATTTGACAGCATCAGCCACGCGCTCCTTGGCCTTGCCTGAGCAGAGAGGCTTTGTGGCTCCAGGCTGCAGAACAGAGACAACAGACACAGCATTGAGCACCAGAGCTCAGCATGACCTGGTTCTGTCCTCTCCAGAGAGCTCAGCATGACCTGGTCCTCTCCAGAGAGCTCAGCATGACCTGGTCCTCTCCAGAGAGCTCAGCATGACCTGGTCCTCTCCAGAGAGCTCAGCATGACCTGGTCCTCTCCAGAGAGCTCAGCATGACCTGGTCCTCTCCAGAGAGCTCAGCATGACCTGGTCCTCTCCAGAGAGCTCAGCATGACCTGGTCCTCTCCAGAGAGCTCAGCATGACCTGGTCCTCTCCAGAGAGCTCAGCATGACCTGGTCCTCTCCAGAGAGCTCAGCATGACCTGGTCCTCTCCATGAGAACTCAGCATGACCTGGTCCTCTCCAGAGAGCTCAGCATGACCTGGTCCTCTCCAGAGAGCTCAGCATGACCTGGTCCTCTCCATGAGAACGCAGCATGACCTGGTCCTCTCCAGAGAGCTCAGCATGACCTGGTCCTCTCCAGAGAGCTCAGCATGACCTGGTCCTCTCCATGAGAACGCAGCATGACCTGGTCCTCTCCACGAGAGCTCAGCATGACCTGGTCCTCTCCAGAGAGCTCAGCATGACCTGGTCCTCTCCATGAGAACGCAGCATGACCTGGTCCTCTCCACGAGAGCTCAGCATGACCTGGTCCTCTCCAGAGAGCTCAGCATGACCTGGTCCTCTCCATGAGAACGCAGCATGACCTGGTCCTCTCCACGAGAGCTCAGCATGACCTGGTCCTCTCCAGAGAGCTCAGCATGACCTGGTTCTGTTCTCTCCCCGAGAGCTCAGCATGACCTGGTCCTCTCCACCAGAGCTCAGCATGACCTGCTCTTCTCCCTCGCCCTCATACACGACACAAACCCATCGCTACAGGTGTTTGCACCTCCTCCAGCTTCATCAAGGGATGCTGTGGCTGAGCCTGGAGCCTCAAGCCTCTTGGGATGGTCCAAGTGACCACTCTGTGGATGGTTCCCAACAGGTGGAGCTGGCTGTTGTACAAAGAGCAGCAGTTGGGTGTTGCCTCCTCACCTTGTGCCGCTTGGCCGCTTGCCGCAGCCTCTTCTCCTGGTCCAGCTGGAGCTGCATCCTCTCCAGAGCCTCTCGCAGCAGAGCCTTCTCTTCTGCCTCCCTGTGGGCTTCATCTTCCAGGCTGGACATCTCCTCCTGGCACCTTCTCAGGGAAGCTTGGCTCTGCCTGTGCAAAACAGGAGGGGAAGATTCTGTCGGTCTTTTTCCTTTATCGACCCCCTGACCCTCAGCTGTGCTCTCCCTTGGTCCTGCTGACACCGTCCCTCTGCCCCAGCCGATGCTGCTGCTGTCCCAGGCTCCAGCCAGCCAGGACAAGGGAACCTGACAAGGCTCTGACACTGCTCAACCATGTGAGGCTGCAGAAGGCACCACTGCAGAAAACTGGGAGCACCTTTCCCCACTCCTCTTGACATTTGCCTTTTGTACCATGGCCACAGACACAGACTGGTCCCAGACAGACACAGGACTCAGCAGTGTCACTCCTTGCCCCAAGCTCTCTGTCACTTGGCATCCAAGGACCAGGTCATGTTCAGAACCCTGGCTTTCCATACCTGAGCTGCTCCACACTTCCCTCATAACCTTTCAGCATTTCTTCTTTCCTTTCCAGGCGAACCTGGAGGTTCCTGATCTTTTTGTACAACAGCTCCAGGGCCTTCTGTCTCTGCAGTCCCACTTCTGCCCTTCTCTCCTGAGGCAGGTGCTGCAGAGGCTGCATTCCTGACAGCTCCTTCATCTCCACCAGGCTTCCCAGAGCACCAATTACATCAAGGTACTGTGGGAAGAAGAGGCAATGCATTATTTACCAGGTCTGCTGCGTTCCATCACGCTGCTCAGCCATCTGCTTTCTGTCTGCTCTCCTGAGGAGACGACAGTGTCCTGAGGAAAGCAGGTTTGCATTCCATTCCCAGCTGCACGGCTTACTGGGATGGGATTGCTTTCCCTGAGATGATTGTTTTCCCTGCTGGGTGTTTTTTGGAGGGAAAAGACCCCCTTTGTCCAACCCACCAGCTGTGCTACCCTTGGACACCTTCCCTAGCAGCTCCCTCCATTGCTCCCCAGCCTCTCTGATGCACCGTGGCATGTTTTGGGGTCCCAGGATGTCCTGGCAGACACAAAATGTGCCCTGGGCCATGCAATCATAGAATAGTTTAGTTTGGAAGGGAAATTTAAAGGTCATCAAACCAATCCCCCCAGCCATGGACAGGGATGTCTTCAACTGGGCCACAGAGCAGCTCATCTTCAACAATCCTGGTGTGATACCTCTGAAATGCGTTCAAAGAACACCTAAGCTCTACACACGGGGCATGTGCACACACTCTACACACGATTTACCACACCTAACCCTGACATACCATCTTCTCACCCAAGTCTGTCGCCTCAGCCACTTCCCAGCTGGTGATCCTGAACGAGCCCCCATGAGGAACATGCTCAGGAACCTGCACAGACAGGGAAAGACCCATGGAGACCACTTTGGGACAGGTTTTTTTTTGGTAAATGGCCTTGAGCCTCCTTTTCACCTCATGGGAAACCCACCCCAGCATTGCTGCGTTCCCAAGCCTCCCACCCTGCTCAGCCCATCCATCCCTGCTGCAATCCCACCAGCACCAGGCAATGTGCTGGTCCTGACGGAGCTGCCACGCTCTGCAGGAGCACTGCCTGCCACCCATCGGGCTGCATCTCCCACCCTGACTTTTCTTACCTCTAAAAACCTATTTCTTCTTCCCCAGGGCGTACTTTCCAAAGTCAAAGTTTGTCATTTCCAAATTACAAACCTCACACTGCCTCCCTGCCTTGCCAGCCTTCAGATTTTCTCCCAACACAGGTGCAGGTTCCAGCTCAAGACCTCTTTGTTGGACTCTTTTCTCTGGTAAGTCTCTCATCCGGACCACCAGTGGCTCGAAATTGCTCTTCACGGCACCTGGAGGCAAAGAAGCAGATGCCAAGTTGTTCCACTCTCCACACAACTTTGAGGTTTCCCAGCTTTCCCAGCCTCCCTGTGAGGGTGGAGAGATGCTGGCACAGGTGCCCAGAGAAGCTGTGGCTGCCCCTGGATCCCTGGAATTGCCCAAGGCCAGGCTGGATGGGGCTTGGACCCACCTGAGACAGTGGCAGGTGTCCCATGGCAGGGGGTGGAACAAGATGTCGTTTAAAGCCTCTTCCAACCCAAACCATTCCATAATTCTAGGAGAGCCCTGCTCACCTGAGCACTGCCTCTTCTCCAGCATCTTCACTCTCTCCCGGAGCTCAGCCAAACCTTCTTTTTGGCGCTGGATCGTTTCCTCGTGCCTGAGGCCTCGGCATTTTGCACCGAGCTCAGCCAAGTCTGATGGTGGCTCCTGGAAGAAGTCAGGTTCTTGCCCAGTCTGGTAAACACGGCCTTGCTGCCAGACACCGGGCACTTGGCACAAGAACAAAGCCTGGGGAGCATCTCCATGGATTTTGGGTGGGGTATAAGAGACTTGTCAGAGACCTCCTTCCTCCTGTGCCATGGTCAGGATGTGAACCCTGCAAATGCTCTGGAGACCCACGAGAGGGTTGGTGCACAGCTCTGAACAGCCACGTTGGCGTTTTTCCCTTGTCCTCTGCACCGTCACAGAGCGTTTGCCATCTACACACAAACACCTGTGTCCCTGCACAGACCTGGACATCACTAAACGTGCACCGCCCTCTCCCAGCCCCATCCAGACCCCACACTTTGACAAACACCCAAAAATCTGTGATGGGGCTAGAGCCACGACGGCTGCAGACCCCCAGCTCCGATCTGGCCGCTCTCACCACCCCCATCTCCGCCCATCCCGCTCCCCAGTGGCCCCCCCAGCGCTGGGATCTCCCCCTCCCCATCTCAGAAGGTGGAACAGGACGGGCAGTACCTCCCACCCGCTCATCAGCTGGCTGTGAGTCAGTGGCCGGCCCCCGCAGCCAGCCGGCCTCGCTGGCACGCTGCTGGCTGTACGGAATGTACAATTCCCACAGTCCCTCCATCTGCTGCTGCCACCACCTGCGAGCTCTTCCCTTTTCCAGCCTCGGGGAAATCAAGCAGGGATTTGGCACAGGAGAACGAGGAGCGTTTCTTCTCGTCCTGTGCAACGAGCCTGCCCCTATTTCTGAGCATACAACCCCAGAGCTGGTCCTGCTCTGCACAGCCAGCACCCGCAGCTCGGCAGGCTGGGAGAAGGAAGGAATGCTTACGCGGTGCTGTTCCCTCTAATTGGCAATTAACACAGCCATTAGCACGCACAAGACTTGGAGGTTCCAAGGCATCAGCTCCTTAGCCAGCAGCAGCCTGCTGGGGCTGTGGTTCCCCGGATCACAGGTGGCCCTGGGCTTGGGAAGGGGCTCCAAGCATCCCACCCTTGGGCCAGCGTGGAGCAGCTCCAGGCTCTCACCGACGAACACCATGCACACCACGGGTGCTCTTGGCAATCCCACGCCTCGGTGCTCCCCGTGATGATTCCCCCTCTGAGAGGCTTCACCCACCTGCAGGGGTGTCCTGGGAGCATCCTCTGGGCTCTCCAGTGTTTGCTGGGAAGCGTCCCTCAGCACCCGGCAGCGCGTTTGGGCTTGGCTGTGCGGAGGGACAAGATGTTGTGGGACCCCGTGATGGGTGAAGCTGACCCAAACAGCTTTTGGAGAGCAGCACCCCGGGCACCCACTGATGACTACCACGGTGTGGGTGGGAACACTGGCTTGGATACAAGTGCCTGAGTTACACATCGACTGGCATGAGCTCCACTAAAGCCCCATTTTCGAATCCTGTGTCGTGGATTCAGAGCTGAGCTCCATCCTGATACTCTCAGAGCGCCTTTGCTCTGGGGAGAACCCTAAACACCATCAGCTGCTGGGGACGCACACGTCTGTGAATCCTTGGGTGATGTCAGGGTGTACCTTAACTCCTGAGCTGCTGCTTTCAGGGCCCGATCCTTCTCCTCCACAAGGCTGGACATCTCGGATAGCTTCTCCCTGAGCTGGTTCACTTCCCACTCCCGGTGTTTCAGCTGCCTCTGGCTGTGCTCCAGCTCCACCTTCTGCTCTTCACTCAGCTCCCCTAAGCACAGAACAGCCCCGTGGGATGCTGGCTGGCTCATCACCCAGTCCTGGGGGATCTGCAGCTGGGGCAGCCTCATGGAAGCACCAACGGGGCTCATCCCTGCCCTTGACAGTGCCCTCAGGTCCTGGGCCATGCCAACAGGACATCCCAGTCTCTTTGTGGAGGTATAAGCCAGGGCAATTCCTTGCTGTGGCAATTTTCCTTCAGATTGAAGGAGGACAGGTCACCAGCATTTCCTGACTTGCATCTTTTGACTCCACACATTCCTCACGGGCTCTGTCCCCACGTTCACAGCCCATGGAGGAATCCCAGGCAAGGTTCTCCCAGTCCTCCCAGGCTTGGAACATCTCCAGCTCCAAGAAGTTCACCAGAGTGATTCTGAGTTTTGTCTACCTGCTCTCCCCGTGATTACTCTGCTCTCTCATTGTCACTGCTACTACTCAGCCAAGGATGGGGAGAAATTCACCTTCCCAAAGAGAACAGACTGCCTGCTTTGCCCCCAGCAGGACAGGTGACAAATTAGTGTCACCTTTCTCATTTCCTGAGAACGGTGACACCCCTTTCCTGCGATCTGTGTGCGCCTCACCGCGTGGAGGAGGCTGGGGACGACGGCAGCCACACATCACCCACCTCTCATGTCCGACATCCTGGCTCTGGTTTCTGACAGCTCCCTGCTGAGCCTGCTGATGACTGCCCTCTTCTCCAGGAGCGTGCCCTGTGCCGCTGCCAGCTCCTCCCGCAGTTTCCTGGGGAAGATCAGTGCAGATCTCACAGCCAGCGGGAAACCTCGTGGCAGGGCGCCCGTGCACACCTTCCTGTGCTGCATTCCTGTTTAATCCACACATTCCCTTTTTTCACCTGCCTTTTGGTCCCCTGGGCTTACCCTGTGCTGTGGGATTGGCCACACCATTGATCTTACCTGGAGCCATCCAGGTGGGATGGCAGAGCCTCACGTGCTATTTGGCATCACTTTGATGCTCCATGGATCACTTCAGCCTAGCAAAGGGACTTGAGTCCCACCCTAAAAGGACTAATAAGATCTTGGGGCAAGTGGTGTTGGACTTCCTTAGGCTGTCCCAAGTAGTCCCTGCCCTTCTCCAAGCTTCTCTGACCACCATCAGTGAGTGCTGCTCACCTCAGACAAACGTGAGACTCCATGGCAGGACAAATCCCCGGCCAAGCTCCCGGTGCTGACCTGTGGGCATCACACTGAAGCCCTGCAGGACACGAGGAAAAAGGCCAATCACTTCTTGGTAACACATTCTTGTTGCTTTTTCTACACAAATCATTTCCTCCTGAGGGCTGAGGACTGTCTCTTTGGGAAGCCCACGTCCCTGAGAGCCCAGTTCCACGGCCAGCTGGACAGTTCTTGACATCCAGACTTGCTTCTGTCTCAGAGCAGCCCAAAGCACAGCAATCTTGTCATTTTAGAGTACAAAGAGCCCTTCTCCAGTGGAAAAGCCCTGTCTGTTCTCCAAAACCACCAAACAATGACACAGCTTCTGCAGGGCCTCACAGAGAGCTTGCCCTGCAGGTGGAATAACCTTCACTCAACATCTTCCCGACGTTTTCTACAGCAGCAAATTCACTGTTCCATCTGCACACGCATTTCATGTCAACCCAGCTGCCTCCTGGTACGGGTGCATCCCAAACAACCCTTACCTACCTTCTATTTTTCCCACAAGTGTTGCCTTTTCCTCCTCCAGCACCTTCTGCTGCTGAGTGGCCTCCATCAGCCTGTCCTCTAAAGCCAGGATGGTCAGGGAGTGCTGCTTGCTTTGCTCCCTGTATCCTGCTACATCTTCTAGCAGTTTCTGTCTCTGTGACTCATTTTCCTCCTGGACAGCCCTGAGCTGCTGGTCCTGCTGAAGCACCTGCTGCTGTAGCACCACCTGGGAAACGAGACGTGGCAGCTGGGTTGGAAGTGCTGGGGGTTTCTTCTGGGATCACCACTGGCCTCATCTCTCCTGGATGGCGGTCACAAAGGTGGAGGGAAGGGTTTCAGGGATGGGGGAAGCCTTCTCCTCCAGCACTGATCCTCCACCTGCGTGGGTCAGTGCAAATACCTCTTGTGCAGTGATTTTCTTCAGCTCATGCAAAGCTTCTCTCAGTTTTCCCTCCGTCAGTTCTTGCTCCTCTGCCTTCTTTGCTGTTGCCTACCAGAGGAAATTAGCAGTAATTAGGTTAGCCATGAACCCACCTTTCTTTCTCTGTGTGTTTTGGGGAGAGGGGGACCCCTTTGTTCACTGATTTGAGCCCCTGGAGCACCACACTGCAGCACATTTTCCCTTTTCTTCGTTCCAGGAGTGAGCTGTTCTGCTTCACCCCCCATGCTCACCTCAGCCATGCTTCTTAGGTGGCTTTCCAGCTCCTGGATCTTCTTCTGTTCTTCCTCCACAGATTTCTTGCACTTGTCCTTCTCCTCAGCGACGGCGCTTTCCAGAATCTGTGAACCAACAGCCCACAGATTCACTTCAGGAAAAAAAAAAACACCTCCAAGGAGAAAAGCAGCAGGAAGGGTCATTTCTCTGGAGCAGGGGTGGGTGATGGGAGAAAAGCTTGGCAGGACATGAAATAACTCAGTGAAGGAGAGGATGGGAGCACCTGGGGAAAGGAACAGCGGAGAGACTGGGTAGGAGCTGCTTGGCTGCTCCTTGCCTGAATCCTTAGAGAACTGAACAGCAGGAAAACACCATTCCCGAGGTGCCAGACACACAGGCAGACTGGAAACTGTCCTACAAGGCCACCATGATCACGACACCCCCACCCTGACTGACCCTGCATCCCACACCAGAGCTGCTGGGGGGATGGCCTGGGCTCCCCTGGGCCTGAGGGGGGCTGCTGCCCCCCTGCTCCACAGGGATATCCTTTTCCAGCCAAAAAGGAGCCAACTGGAGCCCAGCAAGGGGAGGGAGGGAGGGAGGGGGAGAAGGCTTGAGAGGAAGCAATGCAGTGTTTCCCTCAGCTCATGGATGATGCTCCTTGTGTTGCCCTTTCTCCCAGTGACTGGGATGTTAACTCCTGATGTTACCTGCAGGTGTTTCCCCGTCCCACCACGGATACTTTTGGGAGTTTACATCACCTGGATCCATATGGGAGGATATCCAGTTCCTTGGGACTGCACTCAGCTCGGGGCTGGAGGTTCCTCCTCTCGTTATCCAGCACTGTTACAGGCGTCCATTTTTCCTGCATAACATTCCTCCTCTGAAACACCAACCACGTCACTGTACCTGTTTGAGCTCCTTGTCCTTTTCCAGGATGATTTGCTGGATTTTTATCTCTAAGTCTTGCTCATGTTTAGCTTCCAGCTCCTCTGTGTGCTCCTGCAGCAGCTCTGCCTGCAGCTCCTGGAGCTTCTCTAATTGCTCCTACAGGGAGACACGGGGGTATTAAAGGAAGTGTGTCAGCAGCAGGGCAAGAAATAAAACTCCTGTGTACATTCACCCACAAAAAAATTCACAAGAGATCTCCTCTGAACCCTTGCTGTGTTGGGGATATGGACACACTGACAGTGGCTCTGTCTGACCTTGCATTTCCTGCACTCAGGGATCTCAGCCACATCCCCAATCCAGGTGCCACACTGGCTTGTTTGCCATCATATTTACCCATAGGAAGAGTCCAAATCCACCTGCTTTATGTGCATAAATATTTCTGTACCTGCAACATCTGATTGCTCTGTGCCATCTCCTGCATCTTCTCCGACAAGCTCTCGAGAGCAGCCAACAGCCCTGCAAAAGTCAACGGAGCCTCACTGTGTGGGGAGCTCACGCACCGTATCATGGATATCTGGAAAAATTTCCTCGTGGAAAGGATGTTCAGGCATTGGAATAGGCCACCATCCCTGGAAGTGTTCAAAAAGTGTGAGCACTTGGGAACAGTGTTGGCTTAATGGTTGGACTCGGTGATCTTGGAGGTATTTTCCTTAAAATTTCCATGATTCTGTGATTTTCTCCCCCAGGAGTGGCTCATGCTGGACTTTCTCCTCTACATCTGGCTTGCTGGGACACCCCACATTCCCAGGGATGCCCAGCAGGACACAGACCTTTGCCAGAGGTGTGCAGGTCCATCCCCAGGCTGTCCAGGAGCTGCTCTGCACCCTCCAGCCAGGCCAGGGGACCACGTGCCATGTCCACCACTGCTGTCCTGATGGCTGAGACAGAGGGACCCAGGCACAACACCTCCAGCTGCCCCAGCTCCCCTCGCAGGCTGGAGCTGCTGCAGGAGCTCCTCAGGCAGGCCTGGAACAAATGGAACCAGTGGGGAACAAGCCAATCTCCACTGTCAGTGGCCTTCAGGGACTGGCAAATGACAACAACATTTCTGAACATCTCAGGCCAGGTTGGATGGGGCTTGGAGCAACCTGGTCCAGTGGAAGGTGTCGTGGAGTGGAACAGGATGGGCTTTATGGAGAATTCCCAGGAGATTCCTTCCTCATTGAAGGACCACATGAACACTTAGGGATGATGCTTTGTTTCAGGGTTGTATCTTTATTCTGACCTTTCCTCAGGCCAACAAAACACCCTGGGCCACTTGGTCCTCAGTGTTTAAAGGGCTGACCTGGAGCTTCTGCAGGGAGTTCTTGAACACCTTGATGTTTGCAGACACCTCCTCCTCCTTTGCGAGCTTGGAGCTTAATTCCTCCTGCAGACTCTTCTCTCTCTCGTGACTCTGTTGGCTCTCATCAGAGATCTGCCTGACCTTCTCTATCACCTGGCAAAAGTGGGTGAAGAAGGAGGATGAGGCTCACACTGTTTTGAGGGGCCAGGGATGGTCTCAGAGAGCCACAGCTGAGACTTGCTGCAGGCTGGCAGCCACGTCAGACCCCTGGGCTTGTCCCTGCTGCAGACACTGACTCCCTCCAAGCTTAAAGGACCGTGTCCCCTTCACATCATGGAGCAGTGCCATCACCCTGGGACAGCCACAGCACAAATCTGGGGAAGCCTGGATGCTGCAGCCCTACTGCCCATGGAGCAGGCACCTCTGCAGCCGCTGCCTGGAGCTTTGGTGGCTCTGAACATCCCTGTGAGCTGCTGTCCAAACTCACCTGCTGCTCCGTTACAGATTTCCCTGTGCTGCCAGCTGCTGATGGAGAACAGACTTGCATCACTCGGGTCTTGAAGGACTCCAGCTGCAGCAGGGATCAACACATGGGAACAAACACCACCGAGCATTGACAGCTGCTCTGCTGATCACTGATAATCAATATCTGGCATGATGTTATCAGCAAAGGGCTGCCCCTGCCCAGAGCAGAATTACCCAGGCACTGAGGAGGGCTGGTGTGGCTCCCAGACAGCATAACTAAGGTTACAGATTCCTTTTCTGTATGCTAATAAATGCTCTGTTGTCCATGCTGCCCACACAAATCCTGTGGATAAGCCTTTTATTCTTCACCCACGACCGTGCCAGGGCTTGGTGCTCAGGACTTGTTTCCACAGCACATCCTTCCCCATGGGAAGCTGCATCCCTGTGCTGCCCACAGCCCCAGTGGGGATGTTCCCATCCCTGCCATTCCCTACCTGCTCCCCAGCTCGCTGCAGGTCAGACCTCAGCAGGCGCTCCCTGTGCCCCATCTCCCGCAGCTGCTCCGCCTGCTGGGACCAGGCTGCCTTCAGTTCCTCCTCTGCCTGCAACGAGAGCTTTGGCATCTCACAGCAACGTCCAAAACCATGCCATGGGCATTCCAACCACTCTTCCCATCAGACAAGTCCAAATGTGCCTTTGGAATACCAGGAGACAGACAGCAATCCTGTTGTAGGGAGCGGGGTTGCAGCATCGACCCTTCACGGCACTTTTTGTCTGTTTGATCCCTGGAATATTGTCCATCCTTGCTCTCCTCACCCAACACCCACACAGGGCACTCTGCCATCTGTTTTTCCTCTTCCATCAGGGTCCATGAGCAAGCTCAGGACAGTTGGATGCCCCTGCCCATCCAGCCTGTGCTCCCAGGATTGCTGGTCCCTGTCCCACCCCTCTGGGACGATGGGCTCTGCCCTCTGTGTGTCCCCTGCAGCCAACAGCCTACCTTGGCTTTCTCAGCCAGTTGCTTTTGGACACTCTCGTGCTTTTGGATCTCCCCCTTCAGCCCCTCCAGGTCCTGCTCCAGCTCCTCGATGCGCTGCAAGAGCCCGGGGAGGGCGGGGGTCTCACCAGGGCAGCTGGGCCCCTCTGGATGACCTCCACAGATCAGCAGGATTTGCTTCCCATCTAACTCACTTTGTTTACCCTGGAATTCTCTTCTAACCTGTATTTACCGTGGTTATCTCAGCTTACAAGTGGAACTCAATCTGATTTCTGATCACATCTCCCCAAGCCCCCTTTCCCCTGCCCTCCCCTTCACACCAGAACTCACTGATCAAACAGAGTTACTGATTATCAGAGTTACTGATCCACTTCCCCAGCTCTGATGGCCACTTTGTGCCTTTCAGGACAGGAGCTGAGCTCCAAACCACTCCCTTACAGTGCCCAGTTAATGATTCCCTCACTGATGTGCTCCTGCAGCCACTGCCTACCCCAAAAATGACTTTTGACTCACATTTCTGCAGGAGATTAGTTCCTCCTCTCCGAGTTCACGCTTTGCTTCTTCTTTAATCCTCAAGCACTAGAAGGAATGGCAACCAAGGAAAAAAACATCAGGGCAGTGAAACCATCAGTCCTGATGTGAATGGGACACTGGCACAGGCTGCCCAGGGCAGGGGCTGAGTGCCATCCTTGTAGGGATTTAAAAGACACTTGGGGACGTGGTTTAGTGGTGGCCTTGGTGGGGCTGGACCCACGGCACAGTGACAGGGTTTCAGTGGCTCCTCAGGAGGACCTTGGCAGGATTATTCTGTGTGTACAAACAGCTGCTGTGCTCCCAGAAGTCCGGGGCACACAGTACCTGATGCAGAGCGAGGAGGGAGATCCAGCTGGGGAAGGAGACCCTGATCCGTGGGCATCATGGCACACCCAGACATGGCCATGGGACCACCATGGTCATGGGATCACCTCCCTGTGGTACAGCTGCTGCCATCCTCACCAGAGAGAGGCATGACCCTTCTCACCTGCTTTCCCACCTTAATCCCCGCGTCATAAATCACTGAGCCCCTCATTAGTGCTGCCAACCTTGGTTGAAACCACAGCCAGCTGATTGTCCTTCTCTTGGTTTTCCTTAATCAGTTTTTCGGTCTCTTGCTGGAGTTGCTGGATTTTCTGCTCCTTTTGCACCAGCTCCCTTTGCATGCTGCTCATCAGACCTGGGGAAAACAACTCGGATCAGAGGTCACCCAGGAGTGACATTTAGATGGGATACTGGGAAGAGATTCTTCCCTGTGAGGGTGGGGAGGAACCAGCACAGGGTGCCCAGAGCAGCTGTGGCTGCCCCTGGATCCCTGGAAGTGCCCAAGGCCAGGTTGGATGGGGTTTGGAGCAGCCTGGGACACTGGAAGGTGTCCCTGCCATGGCAGGGGTGGAATGAGGTGTTTTTTAGGGTCCCTTCCCACCCAAACCATTCTGTGATTTGATTCCTACAAGCCTCTAGGAATAATTTGTTGCCTGTACAATTTGACCAACGCTTCCTCCTCATCCAAAACCAGTCCCAAATTGCTTCATGCCCTGACCCAGAGCTCCAGGGTCAATACCTGCAGTCAAAGCCTGCTCCCTCTTCAACTTCTCACTTTCTCTCCGCAACCTCCCGATCTCCAGGTCTCTCTCATGAAGGGAATGGCTGAAAACCTGATTTGAGCTTTTCTGCAGGTCACTGATCTGCAAAACACAGATTTACCCATGCTCCTCACAGGAACATTCGCTGACTGCTACAGCCCCTTTGGAGAGGGACATCTGCCACTTCTGGTTTGGTGGGACTGTTCTTTAGCATCTTCAAATTCCACCTAGGAATTCCATATAGGACATTTTTAAATGTGCTCTGGCTGTTCCTGCTGAAATCCTAATGCCAGAGGCATTAGAGAAAGAAGGAAGGAAGGGATGGGAAAGGATGGGAAAGGATGGGAAGGAAAAACCCTCCCTCCCTCATTTCCCTTGATTTCAGCCACACAAACTGCTCCTGGCCCAGCCTGGCTGTTACACCACAAGCACACCTGTACCTGAGAGGTTTTCCCTGCCCATGAAAGCCCCCAGTACCTGTTCCCTCAGGCCTTTGATCTCCTCTGTTTGGGCTCCCAGCTCTCGGTTGAAGGTGAGCAGCTTCTGGGTCAGCTCAGCCTCGCTCCTCACTGCTGCCTGGGCCAGTTTCTTTGCCGTGGCTGCGATCTCCTCCTGCAGGTCTCTTATCACCACATCCCTCCCCTTTGTATCCAAACCAAAAAGGTGACCCATCTCCTTCTCCAGCAGCTTCTCACCCTGCTGGCGGATTCAGGTGCCACTGCTCAGTCTGCAGCCACAGAAACTCCACACCACCTGCCCAGGGGTTCCAGCTCATGGCCATCAGCAAGGGACCCGCTGTCCCTCGCTTCCCACACCCTCCAGCCACCCCTGTCCCCGTCCACCCGCTTTGGTGGCAGCCCCCACGCCCTGCTGGGACTCCTGGTGGGACACAGACATTTGGGAAGATTCAGCTGCTCTGCCAAGGGCCAGGACAGGGATGGCATTCCTCACTCCCACCCCAGCATTACCTTCTCCTGCAGGAGGAGATCCACCTGGTGAGTGCCCAGGGAAGGGGGTCCCCCCCTTGCACCATCACCTGGGAAGCTGGCTGAGACTGGAAGAAAGCAAATTATCAGCAGGAGAGGCGGGTGCAGGCAGCAGAAGTGCTCATTTTCCCTTGGCCCAAAACTGCTCCAAGGCAGTGGCCACTACTCAGGGTGGGAGTTTGCTTCACAACCAGGAGAAAAATAAAAAAAATGACATTTAGAGTGTAAACAGTCTGCACAGAAGAGAGAGTTAATTCACCTCAGGGAACCAAAACAGCCTAAGAGCAGCAGAGACACAGAGAAGAGAGGCTGCCCTTATTTTCCAGCACTGCCCAGCCCCTCAGAAAGCTGTGCTTTTTTGTCTGCCCACACGGGAATAGCTCTGCTCGCTGCCTTTAGGGCAAGGGGATCCTTTGGGCTGTTCCCAAAAAGAGAGTTTGTTGCTTATGACAGCCCAAAAATCCCACAGCAGGAAAAAGCACAGCACTGTGCACCAGGCCACAACATTCATGGCAAATGTCACGTTCTCCAGCTGGCCCAAACCCTCACCTCTGCCCTGCTCCATCACAGTTTGCTCCCAGAGGTGCATCAGATCTATTTTCAGGTGCCTTCACTCGAGGCAGCCACTTCAAAGGAGGGAAAAACACCACACAGGGGTCAGGAACAGGCACAGGGGCCACTGGGGCAGATAAAGTCAGTCCTGGCCCTTCTGGGTCCCACACCAGGAGAAAGGAAGAGGAAATGTCCCTCTGCAAAGCCAACAGCATTCCCCTTGGGATGTCCCAGCTCGTTTCCTCCCAACCCAAACCCACCCAGGGCCACACAAGGATTTTGTTCAGCTCCAAGGGACAACGACTCGCTCAACACTCGTCACTTTTCTGCTCCAATCAACTCCACTCAGCACCGAGTGAGGACACCAGGACACAACTGGCTGGGTTTGGCATCGTGGAGTACCTGGCCTCGCCGCAGAGGTCCTGCTGAAGGTGTCCAGAGAGGTGGCACCGGCCGTGCTCCTGCCCCGGGCACTCGCAGGTCGCTTTGGCAGCGGCAGATGGGGCTTGTGGCTGGGGGCTCTGGGGGTCCCCCTGCCCAGGGAGCCGGGGGGAAGCTGCCACTGCAGCGAGGGCAGGCCCAGAGGAGATGAAGAAGTCCAGGCTTTGGGCTCTGCACCCACCTGGAGCTGCCTGCTCCACCCTATGCGACGCTTCAAGGGGGGACAGGACATCTACGGTGAGAAAACACCATGTTATCTTCAAGATTTTAGGAAGGATTTTAGCCCTGGGTTCACACCCACTGTGTTGTGGAAAACCCAGGCACGGATCTCAGCAGAAGCACAATTTTAGTTTTTTCTCATTTCCATTACTCAAGGATCACATTTTAATCAGGGCATCCAGACTCTTTGCTGAAACAAAGAGAGTTATTGGGGTTTTCTGCTTTTTGAGCTGTTCCCTCTCCATCTGACTGCCCCAATTCTGCACATCATTCACACGATCCAGCAGCCCTCCTTTCACAGCTCACACGAGGTCCTACCCCATCGTTTCTCCCAGACAAACCAAAGCCTCTCACTGTGCTCCTGTTTTCCCATCAGCTGTCAGAATGGGAATTAGGGCACAGCCTGCTGTTCTCCTGATGAGCAGAGCCTTCCAGGACAGTGGGGACAAGCCACCAGCAAGGTCTCAGTTCCAAGGGCTGCATTAAACACCTGCCAGCACGGGTGGGACCTGGGTGTGGGTCCTCCAACACCCGGCTGTTAACGGAGCCCCAGCCCCCAGTGCAGGCTCCCTGCTAATCCAGGGATTGTTCAGCTCCTTCCCTTCTCCCGGGGCACATCCCAACCCTGCTGCTTTTGCTCATGTGGAGCTGGGATTGCCCAAAAACCTTCCAGTGTCCCTGGTGGGTGCTGCTCCTCTGTACAACGTGTTCCCCCAAGACTCCAGAGGAGCGATCCCGACCCTTGGCAGACACTTCACAGCCGAGGTGCTTCCCTCCCTGCGGGCAGCTTCAAATCTGCCCTCCAAAGGAGCATCACAGAGCCTGGAGTGAGGAAAAGGCACCCCATGGACAGGCTCGATTGTGTGTGCATCCTGCCTTTGGGAATTCTCACTGCTCCAGCTCCAGCTAGCTTCACCTAGGCAGCATTCTTCAAGAGCCAAAATAATAAAAATACTGCTGGGGATTATCAGTTCCTCTATGTTTTATTTGAAACTCAGCTTCTCTCTTGTTAAGTGGCTTGGGAGGAAACATAAAAATGCAAATAGAGGTCTATAAAATGCAGATTTTCCAGGTCTTCCTTTGCTAATGAACCTCTGTCCTGTGCTTTTCCATTTTCCTACCGAACTGCAGGAGTTTCTTCAGCAGAGGGAGCTCCAGCTTCTCATTTCCTCCTCCCCCGTGTCAGGAACGATGTGTTCTAATGTCTTTACAAATAATTTGATGGGTGAAGGTGTGGGTGTTAATTAAGACCCTTTGAAATGGGTCTTAATGTCTCTGCTGACTTAGGGCTAGGTTTGTTACAGACCCCAGACAGCCTGGCTGCTGAAAAGACAAGGCTGAACTTCTGAGCTTTGGGGTAAAACAGACGGTTCAAGGAGGGATAGGTGCTAGTTTGGGAAGGCTGTACCTCCCTCGTGCCTCGGCCAGGGGGAAAGGAAGAGGGCACCGTGTGGCCGGGAGTTTGGGATAAAAGGAGGCTGCACCCTCCAAAACCCTGAGAGACAGAAAACCCCACGGGTTCTGCTTATTTAACTAAAGATGACGGACTCCTCTGTCTCCTTTTTGGACATAAACCTCTGGAGTTTGTGGATTTTCCTGACACCCACCTTCGGCACCTTTCCTCAGGATCTCCCAGATGAACCAGGAGTGAATTTCTGCTTCTGGAGCCTTCCCTGAGCAGCAGCACCCACCCACCCACCTTCCCTGGGCATCCTTCCATGGGCCAGAGCATCCAGCCCTTCCCTGGGCACCTTCCATGGGCCAGAGCATCCAACCCTTCCCTGGGCACCTTCCCTGGACATCCCCAGCCCTACCTGGGCAGCCCCATCCAGCACCAGCTCCAAGGACGCTCCCGCCGTGCCAAAGCTCAGGATATCCCCCGGGCTCACCCTGACGGCCGCGTTTTGAACCTGGCAGCTGTTGACGAAGGTGCCGTGGGGGGAGTTGAAGTCCTGAAGGATGAAGCTGTTGTCTGAGGCAGAGAATTCCAGGGCTGCGTGAAGATCTGCCACACCTGCGGCCTGGGAGCAGGCAGGGGACGCTGCTGGAGGTGGCTCCAGGTTGGTCCCTGCTTTGCCAAACCCCTTTTCTGGTGCTCAATCCCAGCACGAAGTGGGACCTCCGGCACATCCTCCTCCCTTCCCTCCATCCTCCACCTGTTTTAGGATGCTCAGCTGCCTCGTTCCTACCTGCAGGACGATGTCGGCCCCTCTGTGGCTCCCGATGGTCGTGGTGTCGGATTTCAGCTGGAAACACCGCTCTGAATTCTTTAGGAAAGCTCGCATTTCCCAACCCCGCCACCTGCAAGGCTTGTGCCAAATAATTCCTCAATTTCCCACCCCCCACCACACAACCTGAGCCACGAGTGGCTTTACCAAACACTAAAAATTCTACAAAATGGCCCCAAAAGCGGCTGTGTCCCAGCTGGAAGTGTGGCTGCAGTAGCCTTGGAAACCTCAGCCACGCCAGAGCCTGCTGCTGCCTGCCTGGGTGCGTTTTTCCTCTTCGATTTGTTTAGGTTTTGTTTTTTTTTCTCCTCCTTTTTCCAAGCAACTGTCCTGGCAGGACAACACAGCTCCGCCACAGCGATCCCGTCAGCTGGGGACACGCGTGGGAATGCGTATCCCAAACCTCACGGGGGCTGTGCCACCCGCCAGCGCTGCCAAAGAACCTTTTTTCCCCTCATTTTACTTTTTATTTCATATCATGTTCACGCACAGAAACAGGTCTTGCAACCACAGGCAAAGGGATAAACATTGCTATCAGATGGATGCTATCACCCCTCAGCATTTCTCCAATCAATTGTTAATTAGAGGGTAGGATAAGTAGGGAGAAGATTTAAGTTGACAGTGAATGCATTGTTATGTCTAAAATTAGAGATTATCTGCATCGTTAAAGCATTTGAATTCGCTTTTCTGCTGTTAACTAAAAAAATAATTATTTCTTGTATTCTGGAGGTCTTTCTCCCAGGCATGTGATGCACAGGAAAAGGAGGCAGAAGAAGCAAAAGAACCTGCTAACAGATATGGGCAAACTCCTTGCTCTTCAGAAGGAGGAAGTGAAAAATAAATGAAAAAAGCTGAAGGCGCCATTAGCTGTTTATCTACCACCTTGTATGAAAAACGACAGATATGGAAAAGATATCTTTATTTAAGCTCTGTTCCTTACAAAATTGGCTGCACTTAGAAACAAGATGAGGTGAATTTCATCTGCATAACAATTTTTGGTCAATGGAAACATCTCAGAGTTCTTTCCCAACCTAAATGGTTCTACGGTTCTTTATCTCTTTCCTACTCCCCTCCACTGATCTTCCTCTCTCCTTTTTCTTGTCCCTGTCTTTTCTCTGTCCTGTTCCCAGACTTGTGCTTTATCACTGCACCCTCTCACCAAGCTGGCATCTTCTCCTTGTTCTCTCTTTCCTTATTTTCTTTTCTCTTTCTCTCTTTGCTTCTCTTTCTCTTTCTTCCTCTTTCTCTCTCCCTCTCGTCTCTTTCCTTTTCTTTCTCTCTTTCCTTTTTTCTCTTCCCTTCTCTTTGCTTTTCTCTTTCCTCCTCTTTCTCTCTCCTTCTCTCCCTCTCTTCTCTCTTTTCTTTCTCTTTCCTTCTCTTTCCCTCTCTTCTCTGTCTTTTCTTTCTCTCTTTCATTCTCTTTCTCTCTCTCTCTCCTTCTCTTTCCCTCTCTTCTCTCTTTCCTTCTTTCTCTCTCTTTCCTTCTCTTCTTTTCTCTTTCCTCCTCTTTCTCTCTCCTTCTCTCTCCCTCTCTTCTTTCCTTTTCTCTTTCCTTCTCTTTCCCTCTCTTCTCTCTCTTTCCTTTTCTTTCTCTTTCCTTCTCTTTCTCTCTTTCCTTCTCTTTCTTTTTCTCTTTCCTTCTCTTTCTCTCTCTTTGCTTGTTTCCTCCTCTTTCTCTCTCCTTCTCTCCCTCTCTTTCCTTTTCTTTCTCTCTTTCCTTCTCTTCTTTCTCTTTCCTCCTCCTTCTTTTCTCTCTTTCCATCTCTTTCTCTCTCCTTGCTTCTCTTTCCTTCTCTTTCTCTTCCTTTCTCTCACTTTCTCTTTCCTTGTCTTTCTTTCCTTCTCTCTCCCTTTTTCACCTCCTGTTCCTGCTGACTGTCCCAGTGGCAGTGGCAGTGTCCCCAGGTGACGGAGCAGACTCGCTGAAGGAACATTTTCATGTGACAATAATTCCTTCCCGGCCGCCCTTTCCCTCCCTTCGCCGTGGGCAGGGGGTGACGGCCCCCAGTGACATCTCTGGTGCTGTCCTCAGAGTTTAGACAGGTTTTTATGTGTCTAGCTCATAAAATTGGTTTTGTCTGTGCGCAGTGCGTTCGTCTGTGGGCGTTTGTCTTGAACTGTGTGCAAAAAACACTAAAAATTGTATCTTACCTCTTTATACGTATGTAGAAAAAATATAAAAATTTATTTCAAGGTACAACCCCATATCGACTGTTTTATGTGAAGGATCTTAGTGCATAAGGAACTCAAAATACGGATATATAAGGCTTGAAAATATAAATATAACCTTTGCATATATAAACTAAACAATAAAGGGCCTGAAAAGGAGAGAAAGGATGACCGCTATGAAGGCAACAAAAGCATCTTTGTGTGCTCAGAAGTTTTTTCGTGCATCACTGGAACACAAAATCCGAGGTTTCGGCTGGGCCTGGAACCGCTGCTGCCTCCTGCGCCGAGCGCGGGCACTGCGCATGCGCGGCCGATGGAGGGGCGACCCCTCGCGGCGGTGCAGCAGCCAGCGCGGGCGCGCATGCGCACTGCCTCAAACCGCTCTGCGGCCCCACCCGCAGATCCAAGGCGGTACCGCAAGAGTGACTTGTCCGAGCGCCGCCGCTTTCCGTGCCTGCCGCCGCCGCTCGGTGCCCGGAACACCGCGGGAGCCCCAAGCGCGGGTCCCGGCTGTGGTGGCGCTGTCGGGTGAGGATTGCAGGGAGCCCACGGAGGAGCGGGCTGCGGCTGCGGAAATCACGTGACAAGACACACGGAGATGGCGGCGGAGGCAGGAACTGGCGTCATTCCACACTCCAGGTGGAACTGACGTGTCACAACACTCAAGATGGCGGATCGGGGGGAAACTCGCGGCGCCGCACTCAAGATGGTGGCAACGCATAGGAAACGACGTCACGCCACTCTCAAGATGGCGGCGCGAGCGCGCGAACCAGGCCGTCCTTCCCAAGATGGCGGCAGGATGCGCATGCGCTGTGGGGGAGTCACGGTGGAAAGCGCTCTCCTCACAAAGGCGTCTTCACCCCGAGCCCGGCCCAAACCGAGCCCAGCCCAGTGGGGAGATCCCTGGATCCTTGGAAGTGCCCAAGGCCAGGTTGGACAGGGCTTGGAACAGCCTGGGGGAGTGAAAGGTGTCCCTGCTCCATGGCAGGGGTGGAACAAGATGAGCTTTAAAATCCTTTGGACAACGCTTTTAGGCACAGGGTGGGATTGTTGGGGCGTCTGTGTAGGATGGATGATCCCTGTGGATCCCTTCCAGTTCAGAATATTCCACAATTCTGTAGTCCAGGTGTGAAATCCATCGCCACGAGTCCAACAGAATTTTCTCTCTCCTCTCTTTCCCTGTATAGGGATGTAGGAAACATTATGAAGTTCATGGGAAGGCAAGTTCAGGATCCCATTATAGATTTACATTACATTATATTTAGATTCTAGATTTACTATTATTTAGTACAATTCATTTAGTATAATTATCTAGATTATAGAATCTAGATGCTAGCTTCTATTATTTACTATAGGATGTTGAGGGGAGGAAGCAAAGGTGGGGAAACGGAGGGATCAATGGAATTTGGAGAGAGACAAACACAGGGGGAAAAAAAAAAAACAAGGCTGAGGGGAAAAGAGTGGCCAGTGTAAAGAATTTAGTGGCCAGTGTGATCCTGATGAGCACACTGTGACGTGGCTCCTCGTTAACCTCCATTCCTAAATCCTTTCCTGGGCCAGGGACTGTTTATTCGGAGGGAGGAGTGGGGCTGTGGATGGAGGGCTGGAGCAGTGTGGGGATGTGGGGATGTTATCCCAGGGAATGTCCAGCCAGAGGAGCTGGCCAGCTCCTGAACCAGGAATCTGCATGTGTGTGAGGCTGGGAAAACCAGAGGATTTGGGTGCCAGAGGTTCAGAGAGATTGCAGGAGATGCTTCGGGGTGGACGGTCTGAGACACGGCAAAGACCTCTATAATCGAGTTAGGTGTTAGAAGTTTATTTCAGGGTGTGAAAGAGAAAGAGAGCCTGCTATGAGCCAGCAGATAGAGCTCAAAGCAGGCTCAGAGAGAACAATACAAAAGGGGGTAAAATATGAATACACGAGCTCAAGACTTAAGATGGCTAAGAAAGAGAGTAACAGAACAGAAGTGAGAAAGCCAGGGAAAAAAGAAGAGCAAGAGTGTAGAAAGAGTGAGGCAAGAGGGCTAAGAGAGCATAGCAGGAGAGAGAGTTCTCTTTTACAATTACTTATATAATCTATACATTTGAATATTTTATTCCTTTACTAACCAATCTTTCTAAGTATACTAATACAGTAACATTTGTGTGTGACCTATAGAAATCGCTGTTTTTGCATATTTTTAGTTATCTCAGGGTCCTTCAGACCTTTCCTTATAAGGCTGGGGAGAGGGGTCTCAACTTGGTTTTATTGGGGGAAAGAATGTGTTCTGGCATGCCAGATCAGTTTATTTGAATTATTCAAACTGTGCTTTCATTTGTATTTCTTCCTTAGCCTTTCTGGCTAAAGAGTCATATTTATAATTTCTTTCTAATTCTACCTTCCCAACAGAGATCTTGGAGTCTGGAAGGGTCAACAGGGAAGATCCAGGAGCAGCTATGGGGTTGATGTGCAGCTGCTGAAGATCCAGCCCCAGCCTTGCCTCTCTTGGGGTCCCACATTCTGCAGCTCCCCACGAGAAGCAGCATCAAAAAAGAGCCCTCAATTAAATTAGGGGAGTCATTTGTGGGGTTTGTGAGTACAGGATGTCAGGAGCTGGCTTGGAAAAGAGCGTGGACAAATGAATGCCAATAAAACAGGAGAAGAGTTTATGGCAGGAGTAATGTTTGTTCCATGTGAAATAGGGGCAGTTGCAGATCCTGGTTCCCGAGGCTGGATCACTCAAAACCGACAAAGGGCTGGGTATAAAGCACCTCTTGTTTGAGGTGAAGTTTTATGGGAGGATGTGGGTGTTCACTCAGGTGGTGTCCAGGTTATTGGGGCCTTCTCTCCTACCTTTAATCTTCTTCATAAAAACCACAAATCCGTTCCAGCAGCACTCTGGCAGTTG